GAAAGAAACGCGGGTGATGGTCGAAGTATGCCCAGCATACTAAAGGTACGCCCAACGTACTCTCAGCCTTCCAAAACCCTAATTTTAAGGGAAGCCACTATATAAAGATCATAAAGGCTTCCTCCTTAGCCTCCATAAACACTCTCTTAACCTTAAGAACCCTAGATAGCTGTCCCACCACCATTGTTGGGTGTGTTTGGTCTTGGAAAGCTTATTTTGGTAAAAGAGAAGCTAGAAGAAGAAAGGAGAAGTTGTCAAAGAAGGAGAAGAATGATTGGAGCTTATAGATCTAGAAAGACATCATCCTTTGGAGCCTATTTGAGGTGTAAAGCTTCTTTCTTGACATTCATATTGTGTAGATCTATGTATTGTGAAGCTTTGACACCATTCTTGTCCCAAAAGTCCTCATCTTGTTGCATGTTTCGAAGTTGGTCAATATTATTTGTCCTTTCAGACCTTAGGAGAGGTCTTGAGTGAGAAAAATGAGGTCCCAAGGGCTGTAGTTGTTCCATGTGTGAGATAGGTTGGTCTTAATGGATTAAGACCATAGATTAAGAGCTTTATGGACGTCCCAGGTGATAATGTTCAAGACTTTATGGATCCTAGGCATATTTGGCCTAAGGATCTGAAGTTTGGGCTTAAGAGCTTAAGCCATTAAGAAGTTGTATGAATTTGTTGAGCCACAAGGTTACGCCCTGCGTAACCTATGAGTACGCCCTGCGTAGAGAGTAAGTGCCCCGATCCTTTTTCGAATCAATGTTGTACGCCCATCGTACTCCCCTTGTTGGATTTCCATTTTGGGCCTTAGAGTTTGGGCTGTTGGTTTATGGGCCATGACTGGAAATTTATGGATAGAGTATTTTGGGCCCAATTATTATTATGGACCTTGGATCTAGGCCCATTTGGTGGGGAGGGACCAATTTAGTAAATTGGGCCAATATTGGGCTTTGTAGAAGATTTGGACTTTAGCCTTGGCCCAATAAGTGGATGTATGTTTGGCCTAATGATTATTTTGTCATGATGGCTAGTTCAGGACTTTCGGTGAGTCGGTGATTCAGGAATCTGCTTCTTCAGTTCAGAGTTTCAGTAATCGCGAAGTGAGTTATCCTCACTATATCAACAGGGTCTAAGGCACCAAGGCCGGCTCTTTATTGGATTGGAATCCAGGTATCGTTGTTATGTTGTTTCCTTGTTATGTTTGCATCCAGATATTAGGATGGTATATGCTAGTGACCTGTTAGGTCGATACCCTGCTTAGAGTATGTTATGATACGTGATCTGCTAGATCGGTTTGATTGAATGTGAATTGTTACATGATTGTATGTTTATGTGCACATGGTTGTTGACTGGGGTTGGGTTGATGCGGGACCTGCTTTGTGCTTTAGGCCAACATACCCAGGGCAGACCAGTTATTCCGAAGGCCAAGCGAGCGGTCCAGATAGGCTGTAGGCCCCACGAGGGCGAACCAGACGTGCTGAGGCTCGGAAAGTGGACCAGGCTGACTGAAGGCCCGATGCGGGCGGACCATTCATACTGTAGACTCAGAGAGTGGACCAGGTAGGTTGAAGGCCCGGTGTGGGCGGACCAACCACACTGCAGACTCGAGGGACATAACTAGACTCGGAGGGTGGACCCGATGGACTGAAGGCCCGATACGGCGGACCAGTCACATAGTAGACCCGATATGCATGGTTGTTCTGTGATTTGTTATGATATAGCATGATATGTGTGTATGGTATATGTGGTTGGTATTTTGGGGGTATCTCACTAAGCTTTCGGGCTTACAGTTGTGGTTTAATGTTTTTCAGGTTCTTTAGGAGACCGTGGTAAGGCAAAGGCGTGATGGTAACGCTCCTCGTGTTTATGTTTATGTTATGGTTCTGGGAAGACTCTGATAATAATTGTATTGAAACCTTTTTGTAATAACATTATGAAAATGGGTTGTTTTTGAAAAGTTAAAATTTATTGAAAATTTATGGTCGTTACAGTTCTCCCCAAAGAACTTTAGGTTTAATGAAATAAGTGCTTACTAAATCATCACCTTGAATTATGTTCATAAGATCTCACTTGATTTGAAAGATGCGAGATCCATTACTTTTTAGAAATTTCTTATTTAATTCCTTCCATATACTAGAACCAGTTGTTAAGTAGATTACAGTAGATGTAATTTCTTTCTAAATTGAGTTTAGGATCCAAGAAATAATGATGTTATTGTTGCACTTCCATGACTTAAGATGTGTTGAATCAATAGTCGGAAGTCATACGATATCACCAGTAACAAAAAGTCAAGTTTATTTTTTCACCACGAGCATAATTATCACTAGTAAGGACTTGATTAACAAGAAACATAGCCGAATTATTAGAATGATGCAAGAAATAAGGATCATCAAAAGAGTCATTATTTGGATTAATAGCAGGTTGAACCATTGAGATCAGATCAAAGAACAAGCTTTGATGAAGAATATGTTGGGGTGTTGTTGGGCAGAGGGTCATGGGGAGTACCGAAGTGGTACTCAAGATAGCGGAGAGGATCCAACAGGTTCGGATAAGGCTTAAGACTGCTCAGATTCGACAAAAAAAAATGCCAACAAGCGTCGTTCGGACTTGGGGTTTCAGGTCGGGGATATGGTCCCCCTGAAGGTGTCACCTTGGAAAGGTGTCATCCGGTTGTAGCCCGGGTGAGCAAGGCGGCATATATGATGGATCTGCCAGCTGAGCTTAGCCAGATTCATAGTACTTTTCATGTCTCCCAGCTGCGGAAGTGCTTGGTAGACGACTCTGAAGTGGTGCATCTAGAGGATATTCAGGTAGATGACAGCCTGAACTACATTTAACGATCAATAGCTATCTTGGATAGGATGAAACCTTAAATTTGAGTGTTTGTACCCTATTTAAATAAGTTATAGGGTCTTCATGCCAGCCTCCATCACCCTCAGACCCTCGTCATGAAACCCTAATCGAATATTTAGTGTTTTTGAGCTTTTTGTGCCATTTGTGTGTCTTTGAAGCTTGAGAAGAAATAGGAAGCTTGGGGAGATCAAGAGAAAGTAAGTAGATGTAAAGGTTTTGGCACATTCCTAGCTTGTTTGAGGTATAAAGTTGATACCTTGACTATTCATTTATTAGATCTCTATTTAGGGCTATTTTCTACCTTTTCTAAGTCTTAGTGACGCCAAGTTCGGGTTTGTGTGTATCAATGGGGTTATACTTAAGCTCTTGAACCTTTCACAGTTCCCATGGCATAAAGGTGCCAAATTTATGGCCATGGGAGTTCCATGCACCTTGTAGACTTCATTTTTGGGTCTTTGAGCTTAACCCATGCGTAGACATAAAGCTCATGACTTTACGTGCTATATCGATCCTAGGGGTTAGATCTATGTTTTGGATGCATTAAGGTAGGCTGAAATCGACTAGATAGACTTGGACTTATGGGGACTCGGCGATTCCTTCATAGTACTCGACGAGTCGGGTCATGGTTCCCCAACCTTTTCTGTTTATGAGCAATCTAGTTAAGTCTAGAAGAAGAGGACTCAACAAGATGGACGTGAATATAGACTTGAAGATCAAAGAACTTGATGAGTTTATGGATGAAATCGGCGAGTTCAAGGAAATGTACCGACTGTATGAAGAAGAACTCGACGAGTTCAAGGAAGAACTCAAAGAATCTAGGACTAAACATTCCAACGTGCATGAAGTAAGACTCGACAAGTTCAAGGATGAACTCAACGAGTCATGAGCAAAATGTCCTAATTCTATATAAAGGAGAACTTGACGAGCAGGATCGAAGTTCCAAAGTTTTGTGGATTATGGAATTCGGTGAGTTGGTGGACCATCTCAGTGAGTTGAGTCAACTAGATGTTGACTTTGACAAAAAGTTGACTTTGACCAAGGTGTTGACCTTAACTTTGACTTTGACATGAGTTGACCTCTGAAAGGGTTAAAAGTATGAAATGGTAATTAAGGAAGGTTGTTATGTGTAGGTGTTTGAGAGGAGTTGATCCGAGCATCGAGGGCAATTCAGTTACTACACGAAAATGAAGTGAGTTACCATCCAGTAGAAGTGGGTCGAAGGCGCCAAGGCCCACCCACTAGTAAGAGTTATAGTAGGGATAATTGTCTTTGTGATAATTATCTGGTATTATGTTATCTGTTATGATTATGTGCTAGTAAGTTATGATGTTATGTGATAGGAGGGGTAGGAGACACCCCAATACCCATCGATAGGGCGGAAGGGGTATGCCAGAACCTAGATAAGTTAGGCAGTACATATCTTGTATGCTTATGCACTAGGATGGTATGTGGTAGATTAGGGGGTGAAATAGTCTCTAATACCGGTTGACATGACCGAAGGGGTAGGGCAGCACCCTAATATGCTAGGCAAGGTACTGGTCGACAGCACCGAAGGGGTAGGCCAGCAACCTGATATGCTAGGCAAAGTACTGGTCGACAGGACCAAACGGGTAGTTAGTACCCAGTTATGTTATGCAGTATGTGTTATGTATGGTATGTGGTATGATGAGGGAACTTACTAAGCTTTGTAGTTACAGTTTTAAGTTTTGTTTTCAGGCACCTCTTCATCGAAGACTAAGGAGCCGGTACGGTAGCAACGCATCACACACACACACAAGATTTTCGCATTACGAGATTCGTGGGATTGTACTCTCACATTATTACTATTTTCATGAGATGGTTTGAGACATGTGATTACGATTTTATGAAATAATGTGACATGATGATGTTTTCTTATAAATGTTTTTCTAAATCGTTATATCAAAATAAAATTTTTGGCCTTGAAACTTGGGATGTTACATAATAACTTTGGTAAAGTAACAAGATTTAACTACCAACAGAAAGTACAATGCTATTATAGGTAAAAATCGAACACACACACACACACACACACACACATATATATATATATATATATATATATATATATATATATATATATATATATATATATATATATATATATATATATATATATATATATATATATTGCAACCAATTTATTTTTTTGATTCTTGATTTATCTAGAATATAATTTTAGTTTCTTTACGTATTGTAGAGTTTTTAACTTTTTAAAAATTTGAAATTTTGAACTTCTGATTTTTTTGTTGTATAGTATAAAGGTTGTTGATCAGGTAGTCTTGAAATATTCATTGTTTTTTGTTCGGTACAAGATAATCATGGTTAGAATAGCGACTTCCACAAATGGCAAGCATGGGAAAAATGAGACTGATCATTCATTAAATAGAATAAACGATGCAGATTATGAATTATATGGAAATATATGACTTCAAAAGATGTTCATCATTACATCGTTACTCTTGTTAAAATTTTATTTATGGAATAAAAGAAGAAGAAGATGAAGGGAAATATAGAGGTGTTGTATACATGTTCAACTGGTTCCAATAATGTCTTTGTATGTGCATTTAACCTTTTCAATTAATGCTTCCCTGAAAACCCAACAAAACCCAATGTAATGGCAAATATTATTTTAGGGTAACATTTTATTTTATATATATATATATATATATATATATATATATATATATATATATATATATATATATATATATATATATATATATATATATATATATGTATGTATATATATAAAAGTTCAACATGAAACAATTTAAACCTTAGAACCAAGTAACCATTATATTTTCAAGTTTTATATCTTATTCTTTATCAAAAATAATCTAAAAATATCTAAATTCATAATCTTTTATCCTCTTTTCATTGATATCAAATTTTATGTACTTTTTTTTTTCTTTTTTAACCTATTTAGATTTATATTATGAATCTAGATTGTGAATTTGCAGAGATATAGATTTACAGTATGAATCTGTACAGATTGAATGTGTGAATTCATAGTATGAATCTCCAAATATTCAAAGTTTGAATTTAAATAGATCAGAAAAGTTTAAAAAAATTTATATCGATTTTGATATCGATGGAAAGAGGATTAAAAGTTATGAATATTTATTCTTTTAGTTTTTTTGATAATAAATAAACTCTAAAAATTGAGAAAATGTTAGTTCATTGGTTTTATGGTTTTAAATGATTCTTTGTTGAATAATATATATATATATATATATATATATATATATATATATATATATATATATATATATATATATATAGTTTAGAATGAGAACAATCATATAATTAAGACTGCGAGAAAAAATATGGGCCACATTTTTTTTCTGTAAAACCCTCTCATGTACCGGCGCGACGTAAGAACTTAATATTCATACGTGAATATAGATCACCACCACCGCAACTAACGCAGCCACCACTAGACAACGTATTTAATTTTTTCGCAAAACCCTCCCGCATACCGACGGGAGTATATGATATTATCAAGTGATTATTCATGTATGAATACTAAGTTCATTCGTTGTGTCGGTATGTGAGATTGTTTTGTGGATATATATATATATATATATATATATATATATATATATATATATATATATATATATATATATATATATATATATATATATTATATATATATATATATATATATATATATATATATATATATATATATGAAGTATATGAATTATATATACCTATCTGGTTTAAAGACCAGGTTCTTGTAAGCAAACCACTGTAGGTACCCATGACAAAAATTTAGATGAGTTAGATTGAATAGAAATCATAATTTAAAAAAATAAAAACTTAAAGTTTATAATTAATTAAGCTTACTCCGGTACAACCGATTCCAACAAGCTCTAGAACTCCTGGAATTAATGGAAGCCGATCTATTGCCTGATCCAATAAACAATGCAACATTTACTCTAAAAATTAACATTCAGGTTCTGAGGTCTCATGAGGTTACTTGTTTTTTGTCCGAGTACCATGTATGAAAATTAGAGTGCATGTGCTCACCGAGATCATTCCTGCGGAGCCCCAAAGGAATACAACTCCGGCCACAGCAAGAGAACTCACTGCATACTTATCTTCAACTTTGTCCCACTATATGTAATTTCAAAGTAATTTTGATTTTGGAAGCGTTAGTTAATAGTAGGTTATATATGGTATATAGAGATCAGTATAATTGTAATTAATTATGGGAATGTATAAAAGGGAAAAAGAAATCCATATACGTACGGCCTCTTGGATTGGTTTAATGAGCTCTGGAAAGTCGGCTGAGACAGCCTCAGCAGGTGCTGCCTCTCCGGTGGCCATGGCAGCAACATTACGTGCTAACTTTCGACCTGATATTATATATATATACCAACTAAGTACATAATGTAATCTGTAAACAACTAAACTCTATGTTTTATGCGATGCCATACATAGTAAAAGAGAGTAGAACTAACAGTAGCCAGTTGCCTTCCAAGCACGGTTCTGCTGCTGGAGAGGTGGGGGTGCGAGAGACGGAAGCGTGACACATTGGGAGGATGCAGGGGCAGCTGGTGGTCGTGGAGGAGCCTTGCCGTCAATAATAGTGGTGGAAATCGAATGTGCTGTGGCTGCCATTTCCCTAAATAGATTCAGCCGGACCTTTTTACGTTGCAGAAACTAGCAGTGTTTAAGATCTTCTCACTGTTTGTTTGTTAATTCCAGACTCTTACCGAAGATGATGAAAGCAAAGAAGTTGGAATATTTTGCCACAACTTAAGCTTGGAGGAGATCCAGTTCCTTTGAAACGAATGGAATCGGAACGGACAGCCAACCATTTTTTTCATCATCTAGATAGCGCTGACGTGTTCCTTTGGATAGGATAGCCTAACTATTGAATTTCATGTAATAATGTTGTGGTTAAAATTAAAAATCCAAATGCAAAAACCTACGAATTGATTTGTGATTAAGTTTGCTGAATTGGTGCAAGGAAGTCATATTATATTGGGTTAAGTATTTTTTTAGTAAGAAAAGAAAATCGGATACTAATAGAATATTGAGATTTTGCTAGGGGAAGTCGTTATGGAAGTATTTTCGTTGTTAATCTGCAATGAATCGTGCTATGAAATGTTGTTGGTATTATGCTACCGATAGTTCTATGTAACAAAAATTCGTAGCAATTCTCCATCGATATTTGTTACCAAATCAATTTGCGTTGTACTGTTGCTGTGGAATTCATTATCGTGGTTACTATGCAACGGAGTTTGTGACGAAAACCAATTTCATAGTTGAATTGCTACCGAAGTACCATTCGTAGGTATTTGATAGGGAATTCTACTATGGAATATGATTTCGTTTGCTTGTTTTGCTATGGAACAAAACGCGTAGCTAATTTGTGACGACACTTGCTGGGATGTTGTATGCTTAATTAATATTCTTATAGTATAGATGAATTATTATTATGATCAATGGAATTTGTAAGATATGGTTTGAATGAAATGTTTTTGAATTGGTAATATGTGTCATAAACTAATGGCTAAAAAAATGTAAAAATGAATTATAAAGTAAATATTGTTAGCAAGCGAACTCGAACTTAAGCTTATGTTAGAAAAGGACGCAGTTAAGCGAGCTATGCTAATCAAGTTGTATATAATTTCTTGAAAATATAGTATATAATGAATAATTAACAACGAATTCATTCCAAACTTATTTTTTATTACATTAACTGGGCATGTTAAAGTATATAATATATGTAGATTATTTTCCTAAATAACGAATTAAATACAAACTTATTTTTAATTACATTAACTATACTTCATCACAAAAATAACATGGGTTTTACCTATACTTCATCCTACTCAAACCAACATAACAAACAAAAATGACTAAAATGCCCTTTTAACAGAATGATGTAAACACAAAACCAAAATAAAATTATACTAGTACTATACAACTTCATATAGAATACAATAAGAACACTAATATTCAATGTCTAATCTATTATCAACCATTAATATTTTTAAGAAATATACAAAACCTACCATATTCTACATACCAATGACAAACCGTGCAATCTTTGTCGATCATCATCCTTTTCATGGCCTATTGCCAATGCACCTTTAACAGAATGACATGGGTCTTCACATTTGAATGTGATGTTATTCGTTGTAAGTCTATGAACAACATTAACAGCCCGCAAAAACTCTTTGGTACTATTAACAACACCCGTGTATCCGGAACTACCCAACCAAAATAGGCATCAAGTAATTGTAAACCTACACATTAAAATATCCATCAACTAATCCAATGTACCCTTTTCAATACAACAATAAATATTATACAACACAACACAACTAAATACTAACCCCAAATTACAAACATGCCTTAATTAACTATATATATAATTTAATTTACATATATACCATATATACATACCTTCATCACATTGATGAGGCCCTCTTGAAATGTAGATCATTCCAAGCAAAATAATTGCCTCAAGATGATCTTCATCTGCTGCTTGTCTCAACAAAGTGAATCCTAAATCAAAATCGCCATAATAAAAACATTCATCCTGTTGACAAAATAACAATATCAATATATAACATCAATGACACTAAATATTAATAAATGGTATAGATTACATATAATTATTAAAACTACACATACAATTTCTTGTCTGAACATGGCTTCAATGTTATTGTGCAATGCACATGTGCGTATAAATAAATAAGCGTACTGATTTTTGGGACCCATTCCTGCAAACATGTCAATGCATGCTGTTTTGTACACTTGAGGATCACCCCCTTCCCCCGCTTCATACATCTTCTTTGAACTACAAAAATTTAAATGCACAGTAAATAACAAATAAATAAAGCTGTATTTCATTAAATATAAATTCATTAGTTGATGTTTATTGGAAATTACCAAAGTCTTGTAGAGACGATGTCTTTCGTAGATTCTGACCCTAATACTATAAATATCCGACTCAAAATCTCTAGTGGGAGATCATCTAACAAACGACAACTTTTAGTATTAGACATTCTACTTACAAAATACACATTGGAGTAGTTGATTTCAATTTTTTTATATTAAGCGTAACTATGAAAGACAGTGTAACAGGGTATGGAAAAAAACTTACTTTATGTTGATCTGGTCGAGAGGAGTATATGAGTCTCTATTATCGGAGAGAAACGTTTTTGAGAACGATTATCCTTCGATGATTTGGGGGGTTTTAGTGTTTGTATGTAGATTTATCGTCCGGAAAAGTTGAGATGTTCTGAATGGTTGAAAACTGGAATGCCGGCGTGACGTAAGAGGTATGATGGCACCTTAACAATTTAGAGTGCAAAAAGACCAAATTGCCCCTGAAATCATTCAAAATATGTGAGTACTAAGGGTATCTGTGTCAAAACACATTATTCAAATATTATAACATTTTATAGCTAGGTAGCAATGGATTTTTGATTGTTGAAATAAAAAGGACAAAAATAACATATATATCATAATCCATAATGTAATACATTTATATTAACATTTCACCAAATTACTAGTGTGTGTATATATATATATATATATATATATATATATATATATATATATATTCATGTACTAATATATTTATAAAAAAGTGGAACAATATTTTAACAGTAAACTTTTTTACTTTAGATTTTAGACACAATAGTTTTCTTTTGTTGCCACTTTTAGTCCCTATGTTTATAGTAACTTTTTTTACTTTGATTTTAGCCACAATATTTTTCTTTGTTTCCACTTTTAGGCCCTATGTTTATTTCTTTACAGTTTTACCCCATGCAAAGCATGAGTTCTCCACTAGTTGATATTAAACCAAATTACCAAATCCAAAATAAAATACGTGTATGTATATGCCTTTACAATTGTATTTTATATGTATTTAATACTAAGAAAGAACAATCATTTGCTACATACAACTATAATAACAATACAATATAAACACTAATATTGAAAGTCCAAAACACATTATTCAAACATCATTCCAAACTTTTAACCTTTTAGTCACTTATTAACAACACAACATATATATTAATCAAGTAACAACATCAACTAATTACTTATCAAGTAAATTACTAATTATTCGTATATTAAACCAAAAGAATGTACATAGCATTAATTGTCATAATATGAAAGTATATATCAACAAACTACTCATAAATTATACCAAACTCCCTAGAAAACCTAACGAAACAAGCATCCCACAAACAATTTTCACACATAAACACCCATTTGTATCCATTCACAAAAGCATCTGACACACTAATTACAGACTTATGTAATGCACTAGATCTATGGAATCCATGGAAGTGTAAATGTTTCATCCCCTAAGTATTTAAGTTGAGATGAACCTTAGAACAAGTTGCTCTAAGATTCCACTTACTTTTTGCTCTGCGGTAAGCATTGTTCAACATGTCCAAAGCTTCCTGCTTCCTATGTCTCCCTTCAGCCATCAGAATCATTCCCAGGACAAATGTTGAATCCAAGTGTCCCAATGCAGATGCTTCTTCAAGCATCGTTTTCCCTTCATGTTCAGCTTCTAAGAAAAATAACTTCATCTGAAAAAATAACATTAAACACATAATTTCTAGTTAAAGTTATGCAAAACAAGAAACATATTAATTACTACTATGCATATATATATATATATATATATATATATATATATATATATATATATATATATATATATATATATAACAACGTACCAATCCATTCCATAATAGAATATTTCGGTTTCTCATCTCTATGCATTTTTTGACAACTGCATGTTTCTGGTCAGACCAACCACGAATTCATAATCCATCTAACTCCATATGCTTATATACTTCATCCATTTTTCCTGCCTCGTTGAAGAATCTGCAACTGCAAACGAAACACAATATGCGCTCCATAATGAAAAGACAACTCAAATACACTTGTGAAATAGAATGATCGAAGACAAAACTTACACACTCTTCATCCTGAAAGCCTCGACTGTTGAATTTTTTCCACGTCGACTATTATTTTCTCCATCACTTCAAATGGCATGTCTGTTAGCAATTTCCTTTGATTTCTTGATTGAATCTTACAAGAAGTACTGGCTTCCATGATAATAAACATTCAATAAGATAATGATTCTGTGAAAATGATTTTAGGGTTTTTTGTCTGTCGGAATTTTTAAATTGCGGTTGTTTGCAAGTGACTGAAATAAGAGTGAAGAACTGAAAAACGTTTTTCGTTGGAAAACAATATGGCGCCTAGAGGATGTTACATTATAAAATGACCACATTGTCCTAATACATAAAATGACTCGTATTTAACTAGTAAGGGTAGTTTTGTCAAAAGTCATAATTAAAAGAAAATCAATTTCTATTTTAATCATGGTTGTAAAAATTGCTCAGCGGTAGCTCAACGGTTGACTGGCGATAAGCGATTAATCAGACTCGGCGGGGATTAATCGGGGACCCTAAATTATTAATAAAATTATTTAAAAAACTAATATTTCCTACAAAATTAAGTATTTGAAAATTTAAAATTTTAATACACAACTGGCACAAATGATATATGTTGACTAATGACACATATGTCATCAATGGGTGATACCATCACACCATATGCAACTACCATGTTGACTAATGACCCATATGTCATCCATGGGTGATACCATCACACCATAAGCAACTACCATGTTGACCAATGATCCGTATGTCATCCATGGGTGATACCATCACAATATGAGCAACTACCATTTTGACCAATGACCCATATGTCATCCATGGGTGATACCATCACACCATAAGCAACTACCATGTTGACCAATGACCCATATATCATCCATGGGTGATACCATCACACCATAAGCTACTAACATGTTGACTAATGAACCGTATGTCATCCATGGGTGATACCATCACACCATAACCAACTACCATGTTGACCAATAACCCATATATCATCCATGGGTGATACTATCACACCATAAGCAACTACCATGTTGACCAATGACCTGTATGTCATCCATGGGTGATACCATCACACCATAAACAACTTTTCATTTCATAACTTATGAATTAAAGGTTCACAAAAATGAGTACTTTTTATTTTTCTGTAATTTATGTGTTTTAAATGTGTGTTTAAAAGAAGTGACCTTTGGATATCCATAACTTGAGGACAAATTATGGACTCCATTAAAACACATAAATGATCAAGAATTAATCCTACACAATTCAACAAATAATTCCTATCATCTTTTAAATTCATAAGAACATGAACATGATCATAAAAGTTTCAAGAATTATATGAACACATACAAAGCATGAAATTTTTATATAAGATATTGTAAATGGATTAGAACAACCATTACACCAACTAAAACAAGTTTTAAAACACCAAAACAGTTTAGGGTAATGTTTCTAGTCCATTTCCGGCAGCTAAAGTCGAAAATCTGCATTCTGAGGCTTCTACTCGCCGAGTGCACGAACTTACTCGATGAGTAGGATGAATTTGGTCATGGACTCGGCGAGTTCATCATGTAGACAGTAAGAAAATCGACTTTTTTTTCACTATTTTGCATCAAGTATCAAACAAACAAGCCTAGACTCTAATATCACTGTTTGGTTTTGAGCATTCTAACACTTCCTAAGTGTATATGCAAGCCTAATAAACCTTGGATCTATGTTTGTCTAAGGTACATGCAAAATATTATTTTCCAAGGTTTACAACCTATCTAGCATGGCATGGGGTACTTTTAAACAAAAAAAAAACTAGATGAATTACATACCTTTTGTTGATTGTTGATTGTTGATTCCTTGGAGTTTTAGAGCCAAGCACCAATAGTGTGAATGCCTCAAATGGAAATCACAAATCACCACAAACTTGGAAAATATATGAGATAATATACTAACACTTAGAAATCGGTCACCATTATTACACACACACTAGAGGTGTTTTTCATGCAACATAAGCTTGTTTATATAGTGTGCATGGTTAGGGTGAAACCCTAATAACCCATGTTTTTTCCTCTTCCAAGGATCCATGGGTTAAAGCTCCATGGATCATCCATGGACTTCCATATAAGCTTAGCCCATTAACAAATGAGTATTAGCCCACACCGTATAAATGAAATAGCCCATGAGTCAATTAGTCTTCCTTTTTATCACTAAATTAATTCATAATTAATTCAAGATTAAAGCTAATTAAATAACATGACTTTATATTAATATATTATAACTTATAATATATTAATAAATCGTAAGTATACAATTCTCATAAAATTATCCATAAATAGTTTGGGTGAAGTGCAACCCAAATGGACCATGCCGGGTCGGGTCAAGTATATACCAAATAAGTTATGGACTTAGACACCTTATCCAATAGAGTACCACTTGGATAAGTCTAATAACTGTATTTGCCTATATTACTTCAGGAACAAACCGGCAATCGTATCTCTCGAAAACTCTGTTGAACTATGAAGCACCATTTTAGATAAGTGATCATATAGTCCTCTGTTCTCATGATATCAGCCGGATAAATACATGGAACAATGTCTTACTTATTGTCTGGCAGTTGTTTCTCGATTTCCGATTTGTTTGACAAAGAGCTTAACTGAACATATCAATTTAGTTCTAACCGGGCCCGATACATGGTTCAACACAAAATCATCGAGGGGCCCAAATATCGCTTCTATTTCTAGAAGGAACAGATAAACTTCGACTCGTATGCTTGTTCTACTACTTGTTGAACTGTACACAAAGGCACGTTTTATAACATCAAGTTACTGATGCGTTTACATGCAATCAATGCACAACCAACTCATAGGTAACAACTCATATCTCTAGGTTTGAAGACTTATATGATATTATCGTCTCACGATCACTCGAGATAAATTCCATGAAGTGATACAAGTGAGTGTGGGTTTATTCCAATACTCATAATTTATGAGCACTCATGAACGTTGTAGCAACCATTGCTATGTCTAAACACCTTTGGGCATCTACAAACCCAATTCATGACAATCTTGATTCATACCTACTTCCGACGTATGACCGATTGTGGAGGTTTGAATAAATTAATTATTCTGGAAGTCAAAACATGCAAAACTGAAACAATAGTAAATAATTGACAATGATAGCAACACTTTACTTATAAATAAATCACAAATTTTATTCATCATAAAACGTCGATTACATTTTACAAGTTTCAGAAAAGGCTATCTAATCTGTAAAACTAATATCGTCCCTCAGCCCAATGCGCCTCGTATGCTGCAAATGCTTAACCCTCGTTAGTCCCTTCGTAAGGGGATCCACAGGGTTCTCATCTAACGATACCCTCTTTGCCACGAGGATTCTTTCTTATATCTTGTGTCTTATGAAGTGATATTTTCTGTTAATGTGTCGGGATCTGCCATGATCTCTCGGTTCCTTGGCTAAGGCAACCGCACTATTGCTGTCACAGAAAATCTCCATAGGCTCCTTAATAGCTAGTACAACTCCAGGGTCTCTGATGAAGTTCTTTATCCATATCGCCTCCTTCGCTGCTTCACTCGCTACTATATACTCTGATTCACAAGTCGAATCAGCCACCGTCTCCTATTTGGAACTCTTCCAAGAGATTGCCCCTCCCTTTAGGGTAAAGACCCAGCCCGACTGAGAGCGGAATTTATCCCTATCAGTCTGAAAACTAGCATCACTATACCCTAATACTCTCAATTCATCACTCCCACCAAGGGTAAGGATCTAATCCTTAGTCCTCCATAGGTACTTGAGAATGTTCTTTACCACGGTCCAATGAGCCTTGCCAGGGTTCCCCTGATATCTGCTGACCATGATCAAAGCAAAGGCCACATCAGGGCGGGTACAAGTCATAGCATACATGATCGAGCCCACAGCAGAAGCATACGGTAATCGACTCATTTCTTCTATCTCAGCCTCTGTACCCGGACTCTGAGTCCTACTCAGTTTGGCATTACATTGGATTGGTAAATCTCCTTTCTTGGAATTCGGCATGTTGAACCTATTCAACACCTTATCCAAGTAGGTACCCTGACTATGTCCAATTATCCTTTTACTCCTTTATCTTAATATCCTTATCCCTAGGATATAGGCAGCTTCCCCTAGGTCCTTCATAGCAAAGCACTTCCCAAGCCAGGACTTAACCTCCTGCAAGGTTGGGATGTTATTTCCTATAAGTAGTATGTCATCTACATACAGTACCAAGAAGCTAACTATACTCCCACTAGCTCTGACATACACACAAGACTCATCTTCACTTCTCGATAAGCCAAACTCTTTGACCTTCTCATCGAAACAAAGATTCCAGCTACGAGATGCTTGTTTTAATCCATAAATGGATTTCTCAAGCTTGCACACTCTATTAGGGTATTCTGCACTGACAAAACCCTTTGGCTGATTCATGTACACATCCTTAGCCAACTTTCCATTAAGAAAAGCGGTTTTGACATCCATTTTCCATATTTCATAATCATGAAATGCAGTAATTGTTGGGTTTTAGCCATAAGAACTTTCCTATGTGCGCATGCAAAACCCTATTGCTTGGATCTAGGCTTTCTAATAAACAT